ACAAGGCCAACAAGTGGCAAGTAGTACTACAAAGAAAGCTACAGGTTGGCATTTTGAGTTGGCCCGGAAACAGGAAAGCCGGTTTTTCATGGCACAGCCTCAGCCATGAAATTGGTTTAGTAAAAACACGACATCTAGATTTTCGCCAGACAAATTGCTGGATTTCTCTTGGAGATCGAGGAAGGACCCCACCCAGTAACTATTTCACCGGCCACTCTGCCTTGTTATCAATTATTTATTATTAGTGCTGAAACTGATCATTTATTGGTTTGATTTGAATAGAATGAGTTTCATTTCTTTTAAAAAAAATTTTGAGTATGAGACTTGTAAATAAAAAAAAAAACATTGTGATAACTTTTCTTTTGATGAGGCTTGACGCAACTTGATTTTAAATTAGTTAAGATCTAATATAATTATTAGATATTGAGAGATTAGTAAAAAAAAAATAGTACTGGGAACCAAGTTAAGTAGGATTATCTTTTTATATATATATATATACACACAAATTTTTAGTTAAATCTGTATTTTGATCCAAAAACTTTTTTTTAGTCATTTTACTTTAAAAAGTTATTTTTTTAGTCTTTAAAATTTAAAATTCGATCATTTTTTAATTTTTTTCATTAAATTTTACATATGTAACACCTTTAATAACAACAATTTAAAATAGAGAAATAAAAAAAAAAACTAAAGAGAGAATAAAAATAACTCTAATTTGATCCATCTATTTTGAAAAAAAGTTCTTTTTTCGTTCCTCTCATTTGAAATTTCTATTATTTAACATCAAAACTTAATAAAAGATTAAAAAAAAAATTGAATTTCAAACTTTAACGATTTAAAAAGGTTTTTTAAGTAAAAAAATTAAAAGGAGACTTTTTATTAAAATAAAGGAATCAAATTGAAGTTTTAACCAAAATTTTTTAACATATGTCTATTAGACAATTAACATATTAAATATTAATTTATATTTTTTTAATATAAATTTATAATAAAAAACATATTTATTATACCTTTATATTACAAGTTATAAACCTCTTTATATAATTTATCATTAAATATATTTAAAAAAAAAAAAATCAACACAAGTGGTACAAAAAGAATGATCTGGTTTGAGTTAATAGTGGTATCAGAATTACCCCATGAAATGAAAGAGATGGGTAAGAATTTCTGGGTACATATACTAGGAATTCACAATTAGGAATCATGATCTGATTTGAGGGAATTTTTCCGTGCAATATAGGTTTTCATTTCATCACTCAATCAAGTTAACAGTGATGTGGATGCGTGTCGATATAAAGAGAGTGCGGCCAATAGTTTCAGTATTAGGATAGGCAGCTGCTGAGGGAGGTCGGTGACGGTGGGGGGAGACTTTAAAAAAAAAAAAACAAAAATGACATTCCCTTTAATTTGGGCAAAACCATAAGTTAAGCCCTGAACTAACCTCAGAATCGCTATTAAGCCCCTATATTTTAATTGATGCATATAAGCTCTTGAACTCTGCTATCAAAGCAATTAAGCCCTTCTTCTTACGCCAACTTTAACTGTCGTTTGGACTTGCTCGCATGGCTTAACTGCCGTTTATG